GGGTTTTGGGCGCGGAATTTTGGGATTTCCAGCTGCCCTTCCTGCGGGAGAATTCCTGGGAATTCCTGCTCCCGACCCTGGGGCCGGCTCCGCGCTGGGATTGTGGATCCCGGAATTCCAGCGGTTATCCCGGCTGTTATCCCGCGTTCCCGAGGTGCCTCCAGGGCTCCTTTGGCTTGAACCTCAAGGCTGGAATTTGGGTTTGGATCTATCCCAGCCTAGAGGAGCCGCAGGAAAACACAGATGAGGTTTGGCATTCCCAGGGTTTGGAATGTGGGCTTTGTCCCGGTTTTACTCGTGGATATTGAAATTCCCAGAGTTTGGAATTCCCAATTTCCAGCACCTGGAAAAGCTCAATCCTGATGGATTTGGGATCTTCTCCAGCTCTCCTGGAACACCTGGATGGCTCCAGCAGGGAGCACGGCCTGGAAAAGCTCCCGGCCTGGCAGGATTGGTGCGGAGAGAGGTGGGAATTTCCGGGATTCCTTCCTTCCGGAGCCGCTCCGGGAGCAGGAGCAGCTTTTCCAGGGAAAAAGATTCTCCTGGATCTGCCTGTTCCTCCTTTGGCACCTTGCGTGAGGAATCTGGGAATATCAGCAGCGCCTGCTGGAATCCAGAGGATCCCACGGAGCTGCTCCAGGGCTGGAGCCCCTCTGCTCCGGGAAAACCGGGAATGTTCACCGGGAAAAGAGACGGATCCGGGGAGAGCTCGGAGCCGCTTCCAGGGCCTGAAGGGGCTCCAGGAGAGCTGGAGAGGGATTTGGGATGGAGGGACAGGACACAGGGAATGGCTCCCACTGCTTGGATGGGATATTGGGAATTGGGAATTCCTGGCTGGGATGGAATTCCCAGAGCAGCTGTGGCTGTCCCTGGATCCCTGGCAGTGCCCAAGGCCAGGCTGGATGGGGTTGGGATAACGGGAATTCCATGCCATGGCAGGGGTGGGAATGGGATCATCCCACAGATCCCAACCCAACCCGGCCCATTCCCGGATAATTTCCATGATAATTCCATGATCTCCATCCATTTTTCCCGCTGTTCCTGGAGGTGAAATCCTCATCCTCAGGGACTGGGATTGGGAAGCCGCTCCCGGAGCAGCTCCAAGTGACTTTTGGAAATAACGACAGGAGCAAGGGAGAAATCCCCATTCCAGCTTTTCACGGCAGAGCCATTCCCGGTGCTCCCGCAAGGCTTGGAAAAATCCATGGAATTGTTTGTTCCATAAAACCCTTTGGGGCTGGAACAGCAGCCGAGCTCGGAGGGGCCGGGTTTCCATCGGGAACGCTCCGGGCATTCCGCACATTCCCGGAGTGCCGGTGCCAGGGGCCTCATCCCAAAAAAAGCCGGGATCCCTCTGCTTCCCAGCCAGGAACTCCGGGCCAGAGGGAAACCTGGATTTGGGAATGGGCCACCCCTGGCAGCACTTCCCTCTGGAATTCTGCGCTTCCCAAATCCTCCCAGTTCCTTCTTGGGAAGGAATTCCCGGCTGGGAGGATGGGGAAGGGCTGGGATGGAATTCCCAGAGAAGAATTCCCGTGGCTGCCCCTGGATCCCTGGAAGTGCCTGAGGAGCAGCCTGGGATGGTGGGAGCTGTCCCTGATCCCAAGGAATTCCCCTCATTGACCCCAGCGAGATCCTGGGACAATTCCCGGCATTCCCAGATTCCCGTGGAGCGGCTCAGCCCCTTGGCCAGGAGTTCCCGTGCCAGAGCGGGAATGGGATTCAACGGGAAAGGTTGGAATTTCCACCCTCGCTCCGGTGACTTCCAAGGTTGGATTTTTGGTGTTTTCCATGAAATCCTGCTCCTCTGCTTCCCGAGCTTCTCTTGATCCCGATGAATCCCGTCCTCGGCCGTTCCCGAGCTTCACCTCCCTCGTTATTCCTGCGGATGTTCCAGGGATCCGCTGCCTCCTTGGAATGAGGAATTACAGCCCAAATTAAACGGGAATTTCATGGAATTGTGGCTCAATCCGGACTCTTGAGCTTCCTTGGAGGAGAGGAAAACATGGAAAAACCTCCAGGTGACCTTTGGGTCCCTCAGCTCCACCATCCCTTTATTCCAGCACCGGGATTTGCTCCCTGATTTTGGCATTCCCAGGAATGCTGGGAAAACCACCCTGCATCCCAAATAATCCCTTTTTCCCCTCCCGTCTTTCCCTGAGTTTTTTCCATGATTTTGGATCTTCCCTGGGGTTTCCATCCTGAGTATCCCAGTTTTTAGAGCCAGCTGGTTGGAATATTGGGAATATTCCTCATGGAATGGGGAATGGGAATCCCCATTCCCGGTGGGATTTCAAAGCCATGGATGCGGCACTCGGGGCCATGGATCACCGGATTTGATCATCTCGGAGGCTTTTCCAACCTCAACAATTCCAGGATTTCAGCTGCCTCTGGCTCCTGATTCCAACATTCCCGCTTTTCCTGAGTGCCTGCCGGTGCTTCCCGGATTTTTCTCATGGCTCTTCCCGCTTTTCCCAGGGAGATCAAGCTGCGGAATTACGATCCCGAGGATGAGGAGCTGAAGAAGAGGAAGCTGCCCCCGGCCAAACCGGCTTCAGGTGGGAAAAACCGGGAATGTGGGAAGGGAAACGAGGGCTTGGGAAGCTCCGTGCTCTTCCCAGGGTGGGAGATCCATCGGGATGAGGTGTCCACGGAGCCTGGAGGGGTTGGAATTGTCTGATCCTGCCACCCCCACACCCAGCGTTGCACAAGAAGGGTGGGAACAATCCCAGGCCCAAATCCAAGGATTCGTGCTCGGAGGAGCCTCCCTGGAGGAGCCTCCCGGAAATTCCGGCTGTTTTTTTGTTGGATTTATCGGGAAGGGAATCTTGGGCCGGAGCTGAGGGCGTTGGGGCTGGAATTTCCTCACCCGGAACTTCCATAAATCACCTGAGGGGGAAGGGAAGGAGTTTCCCTGGATCCTGAAATGTGGAGTTTTCCTGGGATAAATCCCTTGAAAAATGGATTAAAAGGGAGGGCTGGGAATGGCCGGGAATTCCGGCACTGCCCTTTCCTTGTGTTTTTGTAGGATTAAAACTTCCACGTAAAGGAAAAACACGGAAAGGCTGGAGTGTGTCTGGGGAAGGGAACGGAGCTGGGGAATTCCTGAGGGAGCCGGGAATGTTCTCCTGGAGCAAAGGAAGCTCAGGGGGAACAACTCCCTGCCAGGAGCCGGGGGGGGGGATCGGGATCTGCTCCCAGGGAACGGGAATAACCAGGTTGGATATTGGGAATATTCCGGTTGTCCCGCGGTGCTGGAGCCACATTCCTGGAGGGATTGAAATCCCCGTGGATGTGGGGACACGGCCTTGGCACCACTGGGAATGTTTGGATTGAATCCCAGAGGGCTTTTCCAACTGGAATTGTCCTTGATTCCATGAAATCCATGGGCTGGGGCAGGATGTGCTCCCTGGTGCCGCAGCCCCTCCATGGGCGGTTTTTTCCATGAGTTTTTTCCCATTATCCCGGATATTCCCGAAGCCTGAGCTGGAGCTGGACTCCTCCAAAGCATCCCAGGCCCGGAAATGAGTCCGGGAGAACGAAATTCCAGACCTCTGGAGCAGCTGATCCCTGCAGAAGTTGGGAAAAGAGGCCTTGATCCCAGGCGGCTTCCGGCTGCCGTTTGTGGGATTTCCATCATTCCCAGAGAATTTTTAGGAGTCTCCAGCGGGGTTTGGAAGCAAAGGCGCCGTGGTTTTGGGTGAAGCTGCGGGAATGGGGTTTTAGGGAAGCGCTTGGGAGCTGATCCCGGAGCTCCTGGTGGAATTCCCGGTTTTCCGACACTGATCCTGTTCCCCCATCTAGTGGAGGAGACGGTGAAGGAGCAGCTGGAAGCGGCCAAGCCGGAGCCCATCATCGATGAGGTGGTAGGTACAGCGGGAATTCCTGGGAATCCAGAGCTGGAAACTGGGATCAGGGAATTGGATCTGGGAATCCAGAGCTGGAAACCTGGATGAGGAATTCCAGAGCTGGAAACCTGGAACAGGGAATCCAGAGCTGGAAATCTGGATGTGGGATTACAGAGCAGGAAATCTGGATCTGGGAATCCAGAACTGGAAATTTGGAGCTGGGAATCCAGAGCTGGAAATCTGGATGTGGAATTACAGAGCAGGAAATCTGTATGTGGGAATCCAGAGCTGAAAATCCGGATTGGGAATCCAGATCTGGGACTCTGGATCTGGGAATCCAGAGCTGGAAATCTGGGTTGGGAATCCAGAGCTGGGAATGTGGATGTGGGAATGTGGAGCTGGGAATGTGGATTGGAAATCCAGAGCTGGGAACCCAGATGTGGAAATCTGGATCAGGGAATCCAGAGCTGGAAATCCGGATATGGAATTCCAGAGCTGGGAATCCAAATTAGGAATCCGGAGCTGGAAATCTGGAGCCAGGAATCCAGATTTGGGAATC